TTTGGAATTTTCTCTGAATCACCGATATTGCAATCAACAAAAATGGCATGCAATGAAGGATAAGCGAATATTTTAGGAGAAATACAGGTGCAGGTGTGTAGGTATTGTTCTTCTCTGCACGGACACTCGCCTTAGTTATTTTTAATATTTAAGTAGGTAAATATAAAATGCGTACATTTTTATATATAATTTCTATTCTATTGATCGTGAGATGAACGAGGAAAAATTCGTTCTACTATTGAGAGAAGAGTGCATATACTTTTATTTTATACGTTCTATATCAAAAAAATAGCCTGATGATTTGAATATTGTTGACAAAAAAGATCATTAAATAAATAATCAAAATAAGTAGGAAGAGAAAATTTTATATACATAATAAATATTTTATTTGCAAGTCAATGAAGTCAACTGATTTCTTCTCGATTCTATTCATAGTTCTCATAATTTGAAAGATTTAACAAAATTTTATATTCATCAAGCAATAAATCGATAACGGTTGTAAATTATGGCTCAGTATCATGTAAATTGATCGTTAAAGTAACATAGATATGTTATTCTGTTCGAAGAACAATATCGAATTCGAAATCCATCGATTTATGATTATTTATATAACGTTCAATTTTTTAACCAACTTAGTATTTACAACCTATTGATAAATATTGACGATTATTTCACACATTGTCGAAATCATTTCGACTTTCTCAATAATTGTTGTTTATTCTCTGTGAGTGAATGAAACTTCCTAGAGAATCCATATGGAATATTTAATGTTGCAAGTAGTAGGCATGGCATCGATAAGACACGATACAGTGGGTGAGATTTCAATTATTTTTGTCTCCTAGTAGTTATTCTAGACACAATGAAACCTATGTTCTGAGTTGGATATGTTATAGAATCAGATTGATAATAGTTAAATTCACTATTGAATGGCCATGATTAGTAATTCGATTCGAATGGATATAATCTCGCATGTTGGAAGCTTAATAACATTCTGATTGGCATTTTTTGTATGATCATTAAATCGACTATTATGATTTATGAATGACGATATTTATCGAGAGCTATTTTCGTATCTATGGACATATATTGTGCAAATAAAAACAAAAAACAAATTATATCAATTATATTATTAATTCATGCAGATGAAAAAAACTACTTCCGAATTTTCGTTCTATATTTCCGTTTTGTTCTATTTTAAATCAATTCCGATCTATCAAGATTCCTTTATTTTTCATCATTATTCAATCCACATGATCCTTAACTGCCATGTTGAAAGTATTCTTATTTCTTGCATGTATAAGATTGACAATAGCAACAATGTGTGGTCCAAAACAAACCATGATTAATCAAGGAAGGCAACTATGTTGTCGCAATGATACCAATGGTGTACCAACAATTGGTATTGGATATCAACTTACACGAAATGATTTTGAAACAGTCATGTTAACGTATAATTTGACATTTTCAAATGTTTTAAGTGATTGTCAAAGAAACACAAGTAAATACTGTATGACAAATGATCAAGCTGAAGAAATTTTTTATAAAATTTCCTATAGAGAAGCTACAGAATGTACTGATAAATATGTTTCTAATTTGCCACCAATGAAACGAAACGCAATTATTGATGTAGCTGCTTGTAGTTGCCGAGCATTGAACACATTCATTAAAATGAGGCAAGCATTACAAACGAATAATTGGACAGGAGCTGCAGAAGAGTTGAAAGATTCAACATGGTGTAGTCAAGTAAAACAACGACGATGTACGGAAGATTATGACTGTATTCGTAACGATGGTAAGTCTCTGAATCAGTTCATTTTTTTTTAATGACAATTTGAATTTTGTTTTGTTTGCAGAATCGTATCCAAGCACAAGTAACTCATTAATGAATTCTAAATGTTATTGCGTTAATTTTTCACTCATTACTCTTTGCATTGGCATCTTATTCTTTTTATTCTAAAACAAAATTGAAAAAATAAAGAATATTATATATATATTCTTCGAAAACATCCTATCTTCCTCACATATGGTGACATACCAATGATGTTTCTCTTATTAGAGAGGAACGAATAGAAAGAGAAGAGAGATAAAAAAGAACCAAACAGTGTAATATATGACATAAGAGCAGACAAGACAGAACAAACTATCTAACTGAAGATGTATAGTGGCCAATGGCCATGACATATTGTTATTATATTCGTTTCTGTACATCGAAATTCTGATACTCAACATTTCCTAATTGTCACTCTTGTTCAACATTGTTGTTCGTCTGTATTATTGATTCGGATTGTGCACCGACAGTTTGTATGCCATTATTGTTGAATCAAACATGTACTTTAAACTAATTTGTTTCATTACAGCTTTTTTTCATTTTCTTCAAATCAATCTTCATTATCAAGTCTAGAGAGAAGATGACAGACCTGATTCAAAGCTCGACAATAATCTTTTTAATATTATCATATATCAGTTGATCATCGGATAAATTTGAGACTGATTTTTTGAAGCAGAGTTTCTTTGTCATCGTTTTTGATGTTTTGGAAACTGTGATAGACGAATGCGATGATATATTTTAAGTTGAATTTAAAATCGCAGTCTAATTTACCTTTATATGAATAGATATGAATGTCATTACGTGAAGCCTTCCGAGATTTGTCTCCTATTTTTTAATTGTATGAGCAATTATGCTAAATACAAAGTGGCTCACCTTATTTCATTAAAAAACATTGAGCTCTTTAAGCCAGAAACATTTCCATACTGAAAAAACTTATTTTTATTGTCAGAGGGTGTGGGTGTACGTTTGCGTGGTGTTTGGATACGGAAAAAAACACCCACATATACTGTTGAGTTTTGCCTAAACTTTGAATTCGATCAGTTCATACTTTTCTATGTCCATCTTACTCTGACTCTGCTAGATTAGTAATACCACAGCTCTACTGATGGACACCTACAATAAGATGCTTCTGTTGCATTGGATATAAAAAATCCTTTAGTATTTAGACTAATTAGAATCTATGGTAGAAATCTTTGATTCATAAATATTTTGAGAGACTCTAAAAAGTTCCAAAATAATCTAAACCCACTTATTATTGACGCGCTTTTTCCGTTACTAGAAAACCGTATCCAACAGTCTTTGACTTCTCCAGGTTGCGCTAGAGCCCAGGAGAGAGAAAGCAGCAAAAATTTCAATTTAAACTTTCATTCACTATATTCTTTTCGAAAATTTATGCCAGTTACATAAGAAACAAAAAAAAAATAGAAATATTATTGAAGAAAAAATTATTTTTAATCGTTTTTGAAAATAAATAATTGATATTGAATAAACGCTTGTGAGATCAGTTGTTGTGATAATCTCAAAAAATATATTCAATGTCAATTTGAGATCTATCACAAAAACTGATCACAATTCTATTATATCAACAAGCGTTTTTTTTTTGTCTTCTCTACTTACTAATTCACATAGAGTTTCATATATGTTTTACCGTTTTATTTCATTTATCATTCTTCTCTCTTTCTCATGATAAATATTTATTCTTCACTACAGATATACAAAGAAAAAGAGAACCTTATCTCAAGTATGCAATATTCTCTCTTTTGGATGATGACAGACTTCTCTTTGCTTGTCGCTGCCGTCACTCGTTAGCCTTTGCGCTTTTTTACAAATAGATACTGACGAAAATGTAGGTTTTAGGAAGAAACGAATCGACTGTTTTTTTTTCCATTTGAGATAAAGACAAACATAAACGATAAGTATGCCGGTAGAAAAACAACAAAAATATTTCATCATGATAACAGTCACAAATACAGGTATCTTTTCTTTAATAAGCAAGAACTTTTGTTTTGTTCTTTTAACAAATAATTTTATTGAATAAATCACTTTATCTCAAGCTTTTCATATATATACTATATCACAAGAATTTTATTTGATACTTTTATAACAAATTGTTCGAATATTGTAGAAATAAATTGCAAGTACAGATTAAGATCAAAAGAATAATCGTACCCGTCATCATTGGAATATTACAAAAACTCGACATCCTTCAAAACATAGAATAAAACTTGAATTTTTATGATTAACCAAGTGTTTTACAGAATTCTTCATTGAAAATTGTAATTGTATCTGATAACATTATAACATTTCAATACAAATAACTATCACTGCTAACGGAAATTCACAATACGTAACAGGATATGTATGAGATATTGAAATCGAAACTTATCCGTCTATCGTTCGAGTATTCTCAACTATCGAGTCAAAATAGTAAACAGATAAATTCTAAAATACTCTTATTCAACAATCCATGCACGAATAGATCTTAATTTTTTTGGCTTGATCATATTGACCAATTGTTTAGAATTATTCTTGATGAAATGATTAATATATCTATTCACACTCTATATAATTCTTCAAGTTATTAATTAATCAGAATGAGAATTAATTTAAAATTGATCTCCATTATTCGAGGATGTGCGTGTGTGTGTGGTGTTTGGGTAAGAAAAAAACACCCACACCCACACCCACACCTAGAATTACAGATACTCGAGGTCTTCGACGAGATACTAAAAATTTTCAGGATATTTGAACTGTTATTTCATAATATGAACATTTAAATGGAATTTGTATTTTATTTAAACCAAATGACGAACGTTTAACAATATTTGTTAGATTTTGTGTTAATGAACTTCTTCGATATTTGCATACAAGTGTAGGACAAAAATATTATTTTTGGTTTTTACAAATGCTCATACAACATTTTTTAAACTTGATTCAACAACAAGAAATTCTTCGAGCATTTTTAGATGAACTTAAAAAAAGACAAAATATAGAAGTACTCTTTACAAGAGAGAATAGGTTTTTATTAGATAATGAACCATTTCAATATTTAGCCTTACATAGAAATGGAATTCAATTATTTAGTGAACAAATAATAAGTCATCAAAAGAGTTGAGAGCATACTGTGAATACACTTTCATTTAATGAAACTGAACAGCTAATACGAAAACATATGCGTTCAATTGCTGAAACAGTTGGACTTATTCAACAAAATATTCAGCCTGCTAAACAATATAAAGAAAATATTCTTAAAAATTCCGAAATAGAATCTCAAGATTTACTACAAATTGACGTTCGAGTTGTGCAATTGGAATATCTACGAACAGTTTATATTAATGAAAAGTGTTGTCAACTTATTACTGTTAATAATGAGGTGAAAATCGTATACACATCGAAATGCCATGAACAATGTTATTGTAAAAGTATTCTACAAGACACTATCACCAATCTAAGCATGGAGGAATGCGAAGCTATGGATTAGAAAACAGATAAAATATTTTCACTTTTACAAATCAATTCATTTATCAAAGATAAACATCTTTTATATTATATTTATTCAAAATTAATTTTATTATTTTAACCAGAGTGTCAGTTTGTTTTCATTCACACCAATACTCATCTTTCTATCTCTTTATATGTTTCAACAAAACAAACCATGCAACTTGTTGATTCTCTTGAAAAGATTTTTCTGTATTGGATTATTATTTTCACTCGAATAACTGTTTTCTCACAACATTTTTAACAAATAATTTGAACTTTTCCACTTTTCGACACACTTGATTTTAACATAAATGTGACATTTTTTTTCGAAATTTTAAACAACTTGTCATCTATTCAGATTATTTATGTATATAGAATATTGCAAAAGTAATCTATCAGAAAAAAAATTTGCATATAACCACAGTATTTCGAACAAGTGTGTTGATTTTTTTTCTGATGATAGAGCAGTATTCTAGGTTTTTCTTCATAAATCAACAACTTATTGACATACATGAAACCTAGTATAATCTAGTTCAATACAGAATTTAGCCTTTTCTCAGGTACTGTTACCTTAGCAGTCAACCATAAAACAATGGAATGTATTCCAAACTTTTTTGACACGTCTTAGAGTTTTATAAAAAAATTTTCAAGAAATGATGGTGTTACGATTGAAATACACTGAAAATCGTCGATTTACGACAGGGTTCTAGAGCAATTTAACGTTCCAATATTTTGATTCTATCACCGTCATATATCGATGAAAATAGAAAACTTTTTTTAATGAAAATGATCAACCATAGAAGCTCTACAAAATGGGATA